GTATGTATGTATGTACGTATATATTAATATCTATATCTATATCAATATATATTTCGAAATTTTGAAATTTTGACCATGAGTAATATGCAGCTTTGCGAATATTTAATTGAGAGAATCCTTGTATATACATCCTACAGTGAAAAAATCATTGAAACAATTTTCCCGGCGGCCCGCACCCGTGGGAGAAATGATACGTAGCATGCTTTACGGGCCTCTCTTGTAATATTTGCAGATGAGGACATTAAGGGATGGTGCGAGTTTATACACAGCAAAGGAGTGAAGCACATTGTCAGTCTACTTGGCGATGACGAGGCTTTGTGGTATGCCACGCCCATTGATCAGCTGCTGGAGAAGAACGGGTACGATCGACTGCTTTTACGCTTCACAATACATGCTCCTGTTCTATTCTGCGGCAGTCTCTCCACCGCTTTGAATTGCGCTATTCATATATGTTATGGTGCACTTTTCACTATTTGTCCACTCAGACACCAAGTGTGCCCTGACATCTGTTTTCGCCTGTTTGGAGATGCAATCATGTGATTTGATAGATACATTGCCCGGCTGCACAAACGGGTATTGAAATCAGATTGTCAGATATCATGTCGTTAACAGACCGTACATATTTCTTAAACAACAGGTTTGAGTTGTCGAAGTACACCAGAACATCGGTCTTTGTCGACGGTGCGGCTGAGAAAATCATCAATGGCTTCAAGGTACTCAACTTATCGACGCCCTGCATACTTCTGTCGTGAATGGGGCGCTCGGGCTTATGGATGGTTGTTCACAATTGGGCGAACCTTTATCACTAGTTACAATTGTTTTGATCTACAAATAGCAAGTGTACAATAGCCATCCCTAAAGAAAACACCGCCCTTTAGAACACCTGCAATCGCCTTGTAGTCTATTGCGTGGGGAAGGCGTTTGTGGAATAGAGCACATTTATAGTGATTGGGCTGTGCAATCGCAATGTGTTCAAATCAGTCACGGATCGGATTATCTAACCATTGCCTCTATCATTTTCGGCTATCTATACCTGCAGCACGCCGATGAGTGCAACGAACCGTTTGTTGTCCACTGCTCCGGAGGTATGTCATTTGAAGTGTACAATGCATACATTTGCACTCTAAAGTGTGATTTGGATTGTATCGAGCAAGGAAGAGTTCTGTATAAGTTACCACAAGAACCTCAAACCACGATTCCCAATCATTTGCATATCTTTGCTTTCTAATTATTAAACTTAACGTAGGAGCTGGACGTGCATCTGTGGGAGCGGCCCTATGGTTAATGCACAAATATAACTTGAGTGCCGAAGAAGCCGGGGAAGAGGTGTGTGCTCTGTGCTGTTCACAGAAATTATATGAATTTATCGCCTCATCCCTCTTTAAACTGGCTCTCAATGATCGTTTGTGCATCACTTCTATGTTGGACGTACCAGTGACCTGTCGTGTGATCGCTTACACCATACTTCTAATCGATATCCAAATTGGATATGCTGCCTAACCATTGTTTCTTGTTTGCCACGGGAACACAGGGGTGTTTTTCCCGACAGTCGGGATATATTGAAATTTCAATGCCAATGCTTGTAATCCGATTATGGGGTTTTTATAGATGCAAATGGTTTTTTGCAAACATGATAATTGCTGCCACGAACTCTGCATTGCTAGTTTAGGCTATCTGCGCCACCTTCGACTGCAGTCGTCCTCATTTAGTAGTCTAATGTGTGACTCAACCCACCTCAGCATACCCATCATTGTACTCTGCAGAAGTCTGTCCGTCGGATTTTCACGCTTTTATTTTCTGCATCTGCTACCATGTCTTACATGCTTATATTGACATATCTTATACATCTGCTACTATGTCTTACATGCTTATATTGACATATCTATATTCCCTGTGCTCGTGCTAGATTGTCAAAGCTGCCACTGACGGCGTGAACAGGAAGCCATCGGCCGAAAAAGCCGAGCGTCTTTTCAAGACAGGCACCTTGAAAAAGTGAACTAACTGATGAATACCAAAGTTTTTGTGCAGTGTGGAGATTAATTATAATTCAGAAGTCAATAAATTTGAATGGAGATAATGATTGTAGTGTGGCGTGAGGATCAATCGGCGTTTGGAAAAAGTAGTGGACGATGCGTATCATAATCTAAGCTACCCGCTACCACATTGCCGTTCACACCTCGTAACTATTCGCAAAAGGGGAAACGAGGAGTATACTATCTATACACACAAGTAAAGCCACAATTGCTTCTAGCGGGATTGGATACTACACACCTCGTCTATTAATTCACCTTACATACTCGGCTCAGAAGTCGCCGCTAAGCACGCACAAGCCACTTTGCGCCCGCTTGTGCAGTGGGTTGACTAGTACACGGCACAGCAATACCACACACCCAGATTGGCATCGAAAACTCAATTGTAAGCTCTCAATCTGCCTTCGAGGTCAAACGGACTGATTCTAAGACACGAGCACTAACTCTATAATAAGCGCAGTACAATAAGTCGTATCTCCACTGACGCTAACATTGAGATTTTCTATACCGCGCCTGACTATTCGACATTGAGCAATCACTGCAAGCCACCCGATATGAGAAATAAGCAACTACATGCAATATATGACGTGCATCTAAGTATATTCAAATCAGGGCTAAAGGACCAATTTCAGTGTCTCGGGTTGTGCTGCAGGAAATCATTAGATTTATGATGGCTTCTTCAGTGCTGACACCTATATTATATCGTTCACCGATGTAGACATGGGAAAGGGATCCGAGCGCTCATATGATTAACTATGCGAGTGACAGAGATGGTTCAGAATGTGACTATAAATGCACGCAAGGTGTACGATATGAAGAGGATAAACGATCTACAGGAACTTGAATCACAAAGAACATACGAGGCTTTGGCCGCTCCATCAGAAACTTGGTACTATGTGGTCTACAATATGAAAAGTACTCACAGTCAATATCATTTAGTTAGGCCGAAGAAAAGAAATTTATGTCCGTAATACAGCGAAGAGAAGTTAATTCTGCTTCATTTTGCTGGACAGCGTACAACTAATTTAATCGACTCGGTGTGGTTCACGCAAATACATGTTGAAATCACACAGCGTGACAACCTCTACTACAGAGTATCCTTATGATTCTATATTGATCTTCGACGGTACATCCACCAAGAGCGAAGGCATTGGCCGCGCGAGAAGGGTCTTGTAATCCACTTCTTTCTTGATCTCGAATTTGGTTTTGATGCCCAATTTGAACGACGCTTGCTGCCAATTCCAAGAAACACCCCCAAAAAAAAATTCGTGATAAGTACAGGCACAAATGATAGAAGAAAAAATCCCGCACTAATCTGGACAATCACTTCTTATATCCAACACGATTCCATCTCGCATGATGCACCCACTCGTCACGTAGCGAGCGCTATACACGTCAACTGATTAACCATGGCATCTTCAGGCTCTAGTCACGACGTATATTGAGCACAGCATGTCTGAATCGAACAGTGGTAGTGCGAGACTTTACCTGTAGTGCATCCTGCGCGGCTTCAACGGGGATACCTCCTACTTCGAATATGATTGTGTTGGGTCTCACGCGGGCACACCAATATTCGACGGAACTGAATTAGGGCGACAAGTGAGGGTGTGATCATTAAGTTAAAATACATCTGTAGGGGACATGCAGGAAGAATGATTGTCAATATACGAATTGCCAGGGACTCGTATTGCGAGCGAAGCATGAGACTCCCGACGACCAGATAAGAACACACAGCGCACAACGCTGCCAGATACAAGGCTGCTATGCATTCTCACTACGCACACAAACCACAACCCTGGTTACATGAAATCCTAAAGATACCTAAACCTCTAACGGATATCGCAGCTATGCAGACGTAGCAACAAGGTGCGTGGGTTACAGCAGCGTGCTTTGCGCTTACCCCTTTCCTTTACCCATACGGACTTCGGCTGGTTTCTCGGACACTGGGATGTCGGGAAATATCCTGGTCCACAGTTGGCCTCTCAGCGGCCTTAATCGTCTGAGCATGACCTCTTTACACGCGTATATTTGAGCGGCTATGGGAACATGGGGTGAAAACGGATGAGCGGCGTAGACATATGCGGTGAAATGTAAGGAGAAATATGCTCTAGTTATTGTAGGCATGTGCGTTTTCGAGATTAAATAGAATCTAGTACGGTTGCATGGCGGTCGAAGGTGGTTCAGACGACATGTTAGAAGATACCCTTACATGGAGCACCGCTCCAAGCCCAATACAAGTAGGCATCAATGGAGGGGAACTCGACGCCAGACAATCTATGCGCCAACCTAACATGAAATTACGAGGATGTTTATATATACTATACTTTTTTTGTTTCCAAAATACACTCGTACAATATTTAAAGTTATAAATATATACATTCATGGTGTGTCCAAACTACCTGTGATTCGGGATGGCTCTAAAGCGCGCAGGCCATACTCCCCGAAGTCGACATCGGACTGGATAGGCTTACTCGATACTCTACCTTTGAAGGCTTTCTTGTGTTTAGTCATTTTTGGCTTCATGTTGCCCACATTGTGACGTTTTTGCACAACCTGTGACAAGAAAGTATCGATCAGCGCCAGCGAGCAACTAGTTAGTGTATGTAGGCGTTAACTTGCATAAACTCTCATGGGTCAATCTTCTTCGTGTAGGGTGGGTAATTATAATATCCATAAAGAACATGAATCTTATATACACGTAAAAGTGACATGTAAGAAAACCACACACATAAATCCGTAAGAAAATATGTTAGAAAAGAACCTCTCCATTTGTTATTCACAGACAATCATGTACTATGGCTTCTAGCTGGCATACATACAACTCTGTATATAAAACTCTCTGTATGGGTCAATATTATCGTGTTTTAACGGTACATTATTCTTTGTACTTGTATGCATGCGTACAAAGAGTAAGCTCGTCCTGTATGAAAGGGACAGGATAT